TGGCCCTCAGTGACGTTTGAGCAATACAATCACGTTCGACGACACTGCCACCGCATTCTCCTCCTTAGAGCGTTGATTCTATTCCTTCTCCTTCTCTCTGTGATGTCAGGAGTTCACCTGAGTTGACGAAGCATACGCAGCCAGCTCTGGCTCGTTCGTCACCGTCGTCAGAGTCTGCCGCTCTCCTATTGCTGACACAAAGAGATGATCACCGTGTTCAACATTGCGTTCGGGTGATTGAACACATGCCGCACAACATACCTGCGTCGAGCTCAAAAGACGAAGTACAGCTCTCGTATCCGCTGTGACCGCAAGCGAGGGTTCCTGGTTCGCTAAGCCACCTGTCGAAAGTGCTCGCTCGCAATGAGTGCACGGCTCCGAGGCTGTTCAAGCCGCGCTTGCGGTCGCTTGGGTCTGAACAGCGTCAAAGGGAAATTGTGTGACCTTCCCCCTCGCTCCAATCCAGAATGGCTCCGACTCTTCCGATATTCTTCGTTCTTCTTCGGAGTCATCTCTCACCTTCCCCTTGAGTTGGAATCGTATGGTTCCCTGCCTAGGCATTGTTCCTCAAGATGAATGGAATCCAAGATTTTCATAAGTGCACCTATGTATATAACACTAGAACTAGACAATATCGGGGGATTCGGGGCATCGGATCGGAATTGCGCGGAAATGAGAACAAGATTAGCTCTAGCGAAAGCTCCTGCCTAGTTCGTCCGGAAAAGCATTCCTCAACATGAGAAACGCTCGAAGGAATACCCTGTCTCGCCGCGCTCTGCGGTGCTCGAGTGTTTCTCGGTCTCCCCGTTCGCGCCTGTCGGCAGGGAGCGGCCGGAATCGCTCCGTTCCGGGATTGAACTTGAGAATGGAACGTGAGTTTGCATCCCAGAAGTGACATTGCCGACGGATCAGTGTGCTTCGCGCGAACGATAACGTCATACCCGGTATATCGACGCTGACGTCGCTGCGAACGGTTGACACGGTGCTCACAGTGCATCAGCCTTCTTCCCGGTAGGCTCAATGAGGAAGCTCTCCCGTGGATGCGCACGCGTGTATGCCTGCGGTTTTTCCCGTAATGCGAAAGATGCTGTGAATTGCAACGCATAGCTTGATCGTCGCGTGAGCCTGATCGTCGAACGTCACTTGGAATCTCGGCCAGAAATAAGTCCTATTGGACGTGCGAATGCATCGATCAAGCGGGATGACGTTCCCAATGGTCTCGCGCTCGAGTACATTCGTTTCGACGGCAGCTGGTGTTCCGAGACATAAGCACGCTCACCGTGTCGATGGGCGAAGAAGAAGGGAATTCATTCTGACGGGTGCAGTGCTGAGATCTGTCGGAACGAAAGAATCGAATTCTCATCTTTCGAAATGCAGCTCCCCGAGCGGTGTGGTGTTTCCCTCTGACAGGTTGCTGCCGAAGCCTTGTGACCGGATGATGTTTCAGCGAGGCTACTGCTATGAGAGATATTTGCTGGAGAACATAAGCGAACTGAATTGATTGAGTTCGCGGCTTCATTAGTGGAGTCATTACCCCGTGCATCGATCGGAGCCGAGCGATGTCGGTTTCGTATGTCGGCGCGCGAGATGGCTTAGCAGCCGGAGTGGCTTGCTGCCTTGAAGTTCCGGTGACCCTCGGAGGTAAAAGGAGAAGTCCTCATCCCCCGGGCGGGATTAAGGAGTCAGACCGTCAGATGTAACCTATCAAGGACAGCAGACGTCTCTCTCTACGGAGTCGAGAGCACTCATCCGTTTAGCTCGAAACTATTTCACGGGCATTTGGCTTCGAGGTAGAACTGATTCGTTCCTTGGATCGTCCACAAGACCGTGACAAAATCCAGAGGAGATATTTCGGAATCGGGACTTACATGGGCGTCAGAATAGACACTGAAAAATGCTGAACGTCGATTTCAATCCGTTGCTGCGGGCGATTCCCGCGGTTGAGTCGCACCGCGCTCCGAAAACAAGAACCTTATCCCCAGATCGAACTTTCAGAACCACGGAGAGATCTCGCTGCTTGAATCAAGAAAGATGTAGGCTGGAGCGATTTCCGAGCGAAGTTTGAGAGAGCAAAAGGAAGCCGTAGAGTGACGGTTTTCGGTCGAGTTCCCGTATTGCGTTCGTGAAATTACTCGCTGCTCCCGTCGCCAAGGCTACCCTTAATTGCTTTCACGGGAGAGCTCCTTTTGACGCCGAGCACCGCGGAATTGAGGGCGTGTGCTGATGTCGTTCACGCGCATCCCGGAGGCGAAAAACTCAGAGCGAACGCGCAGGGAGACAGGCGGTAGGTCACCCCTTGAGAACTTTATCGGCAATTATCGCATCACGGACGCCACAAGCGCGCATGCTCGTCGAGCTTTCTTCCATTGTCAAGTCCCTATCTGAAAGGACGAATATTTTGAAAAAGATTCAAAGGAGGGCTGGCGACACGGAAGGGGACAGCGAATCCTCCTCACTGGGGAATCGATGGAGACCGAGGGGAGTGATGGAAGAAATGACAGGGTCGTCTGGGGCTTGAGTTCCTCTCTTTCATCTCGTGGAGCGGCCGTCTGACATGTTTCATCCAGGGATAGAAGCCTCTCGAGACGGAAATCTGAATAAAAACAGAGAACCTGTTGGAAGGAGGAAATTCTGTCGACGCAGACCTCGGTGAGCGCTAAGCCTCCAATCAGGGAATAGGTGTGCCCGACCGAAAACAAGGACTCTGATAGAGTAGACTCGGACGAGATGAAAAGTGGACACGACATGGACCTGCGTCACGCATGCCGAGGAGTGGAAGGGGACGAGCGCTCGAGCGATCCTGGTGAAGACAAGAAGCGGATGAGCGATTGGATAAGCTCCTTGTCGTACGCTTCGGAGTATGCTCATCGAATCATCAGGTGTCCTTCTCAAGATTCAGGCAGGGCAGGGCCTATATATTTCCAGACTTCTGAAAGATCTCTGACAGAAGACGGTCGTCGTCGGCAGAAAAATTCTTCTGCGCATGTACATATATCCCCGGAGAACCTTCTTCGAGAATACTTGCATAATATTTGACCTTGCTTGACATATATGACAACTGCGGCTGTCTACCGTCCATACGGCTGTACCTGCTACTCCAAACCCGCTAGTGGCAGGAATTCATGATCTATGAAGTTTGTGTCACTACATCGAATGTCTTCATGCTCTTCCCCTTGCCACGCGCCGTTCTCCCTCGCGACCAAGAGCGAATATCGAATGTTTCCCATCCTGGGACAAGCCTCCGAGTGAAATAATTCTTCTTCCTGTTTTCAAAAGAGGAGCAGGATGATATCGTCCCGTGTGGGGCTCTTTTCATGTAGGTTTCTGAGCATTCCAGTATTTTCTCCAATTTGCGAAGTCGACGGCCGGGTCAAGGAAGGATCCTATACGACATTCCTGAAAGGGGAAAAAACGTCTCCCGAAACGCTTACTTGCCCCTGAGTTCAGATTGTACTTCTACTCGAATTCGGAACAGGTCTGCGTCTCTCTACGGCTCCTGCGTATCCCCATTTAACGAGGTCTTCTCCCAAAGGCCGTCCGTCCGTTCGTGTACCTCGTGATTCGCCGAGAGCGCGTATCGGTAAGAGATCTTCGATAACGACCAAGCATCGATATCAGCAAGATATTCGCAGCGGGATACGACGGCTCACAGCAGTGAGAGGGCGAGCTTCATTGATAGGAGGTCCCCCATGAGAAACGAAATTCACGAACAGGCCCTGTCGAGATTGCTACGGAGCGTCGCATGGAGGAAGTTCTTTCGCGATTTAGTGTCCTATTCGGGGGACTGTGTCCATGAGCACAATCAAGCAGCTCGGCTGCCAAAACAATGCTTGGATGCTAGCGGTCGAATCTTACGCGAGTCGACTTTACGGCTCATTCGATGCAATGTAGTAAACAAGGGACAAGTCACCTGCGACGACCGGACCGAAGCTGAGAGTCAGTCTCGGGTACTCGCTGAGAGATCAAATGAGTTTTCGCGAGAACGTCCGGCAGAGCCAGGCGGAGAGTTCAGGGGGAAAGGATGCAAAGGTTGGAATGGAATTCTCCGGTGGCGATGAATTCTAAGAATAAGCTGTGTCCCACCGCCCTCTTTCGCTGTTAAGGAGCACTTTGTTCGAATTCCTGAGCCGCCCGAGTCGTCGGCAGCTACATCACGAGCAGCAGAGGCGGGACGCAAGCGGGAGATTCATGAGATTCTGTGCGAGGCCGAGGACGAGGCAAGGATGCGACGTCGGCGATATCGCTCGAACGAGAATATGCCCCCTGAAGGAATAAGGTCCCTGAGGTTCCCTCTCCGAATCCAATGACCAGCTCCAATCTATGAGCGCAGGTGGTTTTTTCGTGGGGATTCGACCTCAACAGATTCGTTCCTATGAGCTGGTACAAACACATGCGTCGAGACGTCCCCTAGCCAGCATCCGAGATAGGTCGAGAAGCCTGCGAGGTCTGAAATCTTAAGGAGATTTCATGATCAACCATGAATGGAAGTTCGTCATGCGGGCTTTTGTCACGTGACGCGCAAGTTTCTCGGAGGACATTGAATGGATTGCTTACGGAGGAGCTCTCAGGTCGTAATTAGAAACTTGAGTGCTTCTGTATTCCGAACGTGATAGTCTGAAGTCTGATTAGAAATTCAAATTAGTTGTAGTTTGGTTGATTCGGGGGTTTATCGCGCACTTGCTCGAATGGGCATGCGGCATAGGGACCGGCTCATGAATAGACCTCCACGCCCGAGACTTTCGGAGCCCAAATGAGACCACTTGTGAGAGCCAAGAAGAATTTTACCCAACCGAGTCATCGGCTTGATGGCCGACGCGAACTCATTTCTGTTCCGAACAGCGACTGTCCGTTCGCGACGCCGGCGGGAGGTCTCGGGGAGAAGTCGCTGTGCGTCTGCCCGTGTTGAGCCGGTATCGAACGGGCGCAATCGGTCTCTCTGGCAACAAGAGTCTTTTCAACGAGAGCCGTATGTCTCCTTCCAGGATATCCGGGCCTTTAAGATGATAGCCGGCCTGTCCAAGGATAAGGTACTTCCACTGATTGGACGTTTGGTGAGAACGAAAACTGCGCGCCCTGAAGATACGTCATGCGACGGCACATCCGCGGAAACCAGCACCGGCCATTTAAAGGTGAGTAGATCTGTCAGTTCAGAATTCGCGTGAGCGAAGTTGATCGGTGCGCTCCGCGTTCTCAGTAGTCTTTCGAGAAACCTCAAAGAATATCGTCTCTCTCCTCGGAGAATGAACCCAGTTTCGACAAGCGATCCGAAGGAGTCACCCGGAGAAATTATATAGATTGCGTGTGGATCGAGGGACCAATATTTTCGCTCAGGCGGGTACGTGGCTCCCGAACGATCTCCATGAACCGTCAAAACGAGCGAATTCTCAAGATTCAATACCTTGGAACGAGAACTCGCTCTCCCCCTCTACGCGTTTCGCATTCGCAAAAACTTTGAAACCTGTCCCTCTCCTGCTGGCGGCTCCTCTGAGTTGTCAGACTCCATCCCTAGGAGGACGCGTGTCGGGGGATCCTCTTAGCGGGAGTGGTGGCTCGTTTCTACCCCTCCATCGAGACAGGTACCCAACTCCCCCTCCCTTCCCCACTCACCCTATTGCAGTCAGTCTCTCGAAATAAATCACTATCGTCACTCACTTGTCCGAAGACACTCAGCTCGTCTCTACTCGAAGATCCCACCGCGCCGAGATCTGCGGCTCGACTCCCGCGCTTCCAGCTCTCCGAGCGCATCAACGATCCGTATATCTCCTTACTAACGTCCATAGAAATATGATATTTTCCTCCCTCTTACTCCATCCCGAGTCGCGAATCCACTTCGCCTGGATGTATTCAGGCTCGCCTCCATCGTCAGTCGCTCCACTGACCTTGAGTGAACTTATGACAACAGAGAGCGAAAGTCCCGTTTAGTTCCGGTCGGACGACGCAATCCCGCTCATTCATACATGGCGACTAATTACTCTAGCTTGTACATGCACGCATACACGCGAACGAACGACCGAACAAGCATACGTACAGTAATTCATTCATGCATGCATGCTCTTTCTTTGCAGAAATGCCTAACAGCTTGGGATCTGACGTCCTTAGGCGTCGGCTCATGCGTAGGCACTGGGATGTATCTCGTGGCTGGAATGGTCGCTCGAAACACTGCGGGACCGGGAGTGATATTTTCATTCTGTTTTGCCGCCCTCGCCTCGTTACTTTCAGGTGAGTTCGAAGCTAGGTACACCCCGTATAGGGACACGAGATCGACTCGACCAGGAAACTCAGATTTCGATCGAACGAGGCGATATTCGAGAACAATAGTTCTTCTTATCGGGCATATAACGCGGGTATTATTCACTACGCGACCAGCTTCAGCATGACCGACCGCAGCGAATATCCACCGAGATACTCTGCCGATGGACAGCTGGGTCTTGCCATTCCCCGTATGAGGGATCTGTATCGTGCCATGTCGCACTCCTTCGTCTGCCGTACTGTTTTCGTGAGTAGGTTCCCGAGAAGGCGAGCCTTCTGAGCAGGGTTGAGGCTGTAAATTCGACGGGAGGTCAAATTTGGTGTGGACAACGACGGGGCATGAACGAGTGCTCGTGAAAAGAGGCTCGAAAAAAGTCATTCGAGTCCTCAGAGAGTCGGGCCTCGGGCCCTTAACCTCGGGAGATCAAAACACAGGCGAGCTGTGATATGAAACGTCTCTGATCTCAGTAAAAAAGAGATTCATTTTGCGGGAAAACTCTGAATGGTAGAAGTCGACGATTGGCTTCGAGACCCTGTCGCGTGAACGTTCGCCCGAAAGTTGTGCCGCCTCTTTCTCCAGTTTCCAATCGAGCGGACGGGGATGCGGAGTCCCGGCTCACTTGCCAACGAATATACACACATAAACCTACGCCCGACCATTTACGAGCATCCGCTGCAGAACGCGTCGCGAACGAGGATTTCCCGGCAATTGCAGCGTCTGAAAACGCCGAGCGAATATATGGGATAAGAGCTTTTATGACGTACAACTTCAGCAGATATCGCCTGAGATCCCGGCTCAGGACAAACGGCTGTTCTCGCTTGAGGGAATTAAGCCGCTGGCCTGATTCTACCATGGGACGATTACTCCGGCTGATCCAATGTGCCCCGAGCGATTCCCTGAGCAGCCTTGATTCCTAGCTAAGACGGAGGATACACAATCAAAGAATTAGTCTTCGATGCTCGTTTCTCTCGAATGCATCCGAACCTATCTCTGGGTTACTGCCAGAACAACATCTGATGCAGTCAGCTCGTAGGAATGTGATATATCATATGAAGGTTAGCTGTACAGACGGCCCCCAGAGAAAACTGCGGAAGATGGCCTGAATTACTGTTGACATGTACGTAGCTGCGCTCCGGTCACGCAAGACACGTCGAGGCCCTGGACGGCCTGGGCACCTGAGTAACTTACGAAGCTGCGTCTCGACTCGTCTTCGGTCAGGAGAGAGTCATGGAATCCTTAGTGGATTGGTCTTCGGAGCAGACGACCGGCTGTCTTGTCAAAGTCAACCCTGATGGACGCGAAGCGGTAACCCATCTGGTTCGGAGCTCTCCGACTGGCTCACAGCTGCGAAAACGATTCCGATTGAGACCACGCTCTCCAATGTTGTCTTTCGATAGATTTTCCCCGAGACCCGATATCATCATCCGCGAGCGATCGCGCAATCAAGATCGATTCGGAGTCATCTTGTCGAGATTCTGCACCGTGGGAGCGATGAGCAGCTGAGAGGCGCGGCGTCACGTGTGTCGAGGGAAGTATTCGATCCGGTGACCTCGTACACAGATCCGTACACAGCGCATTCGATCGGGCCAGAGTTTCCTTCCATCCCGATTCAAGCTCTGCCAAGTCTGGTTTCTATTGTTCAGAAGGTCGTAACTCGTAACTTCTCTCCGGAAGGCCGCGCACGATAGATGAGTCGTAGTCGCGGTCGATCCAGAGCAGCAAAACTCATCTCCCACACTCAGAAGCAGAGTTCAGTTTCCGCAGCCTGCGACGGCTTGCTCGACAATTTACGAACGGGGGAGAGAAAAGCGGAATTGATGTTCTTCGTTCCTACCGCTCGTTCCTTTGACACTGTACTCAAGGTTCGTGCGACGTATCAAGTCAGATATGTAAATCAAAGCTGCCGAGAGGTACCTTTTGACCTCTCGTCCCGTTCAGCTGTGCATGGCGAGGGCGTGCGAAGCTCCCGAATTCCATCGATGTGGGGTTTCAGTGGGTCTCGTAATGCGAACTGCTGCCCGTGTTTGCTCAAGCTCCCGGGCTTGTCTCGTCCAGTGATGCGAAGGGCCGTCAGGCTTCCGACTCCCTCCTTCAGCTGTGTGATACCATCATATTCTCGAGACGATCGAGTTCAGGTCTTCATGGCATTATTCACAGCGATGCTTCGATGCAATCTTTCGCTCCACAAAGGTCTCAGGGAGTCTCAGGGGGAACGAGTTCGTTGGAATCATTCCGAAGATGCTCCGCGCCGGACCATACCTTCGGATACTCTGAGAGCTCTCCCCGTTAGACTTGTCTCTCCAGAGTGCGACTTCGCTCCCGGCTTTGGATCCTCAGCGAGCGTCCTGGGCAACCCTCTAAAGTAGAACACTGACTTAACCAGACCGACGCGATCCGGTATCTCCTCAGGCGGGCCGTACAAAATACCCGTACGGCTGATAGCCTGGGACATTGGGATGTGGGACGGAGTCCTGATTCTGTTTTGTGGATTCAGTACGCTCATCTGGAACGAACCGCCCTCGTCGCTCTCGAGAGTTCTGTGGACTCGGGTCCAGGCTAAGCTTCGACCTCCTCCATTGAGGATGGTCGCGGTGTCAAGTGCTTAGCTCTTTAGCAGTTCGCCCGCTCGTCTGCCACGGCTACTGGGCTGGCTGAGCTTGTTGTTCGCTTGATTAGTCGTGGAGAGTCTCTTGTGAGATGCATGCATGGAAGTCGTATTTTCGATTACCGCAAGCAGCCCGACGACGTAGCCACTGAAAAGCGGTCGCTGCGGTCCGCGCCCGCAGACTGACGCTCGTCCCCGGGAGGAATTCGTGCTCGAGCGAGTCTGGATTCACTCTTCCTTTAGAGTTCCCTGTTCGGACATATCCGGAGATATCTGCACGGCCGGGCATCGACTTCCCGCGAGAGCGTCCCGAGGTACGCCAGACGAGTGTTCTAAGCATACATACAATCGTGTAGGACTTTCTGTGCTCGAGTTCCCAGACGTTACATTCGTCGGCTCAGTACATATGCCACAGAACTTGGAGATGATGAAGAATCCTACGCCTTCTTTCCCATCATATTCATCATGTATCTTCTATGCCTGCGGCGCCCCTTTCAACCTGTTCTCAAGTCCGAATCCTTCCTACGCGTCACAGGTGTGACTATGAGATCCGACCTACTGCACGGTGCTCCTTTTCCCGTGCCTGGAACTCAATGCGTTCGGCTGGCAGTTGTTCCTCGGCTAGATCATGGCTCCGATCCAGATTTCGAATTCATGATCCCGTGGGAGGTTCCGTGATGCCTCATTCCGTCCGCTCCTATGTTATTAGCCAGTGGAGCCAGGGAGCAATATGTTCCCTCCTGGTGCCGCCTCTCCTTCGATCAGTGATTCCGATGCGGAGATCTAAGACCGGGAGCACTCGCCCGTGAAAGAAGAGAACTGAGACTTTTTTTATGACGGCCGCGGTGACGATCAAACGAAAGTCATTACGTGCGTATACTGGCTCGTGAATATCTCTTCGAAAATCCCATGTTCTTGTCCTCATGCCTCCCTGGCGATTCTCCCGCCCCTGGAGGTTTCGTGTTAAGAGCTGCGGGAACAAGCAGTTTTCCATTACAAAAAAGGGCCTCCGAGAAGAAGTCTTCCTTAGTTTCCGCGAAGTCTTGACCGGGAGCCGCGATGGCCACGAAAACTCGCGCCCCTCCCCCCTCACCCCCGCGAGAGCAGCTTACGATACGCAACCGAATCTGGAACTATCACGAGCAGCCGCAGTGACCGCCTCTGCAAGAACAAGTAAACATGGTGCTTCCGGCGGGGGCTACAGTGAAACAAAGTTGGACTTTCCCCGTCTGTCTGGCCCAGGCCGCGGTCCGAGCGGCCTTCGATATCGATTGGCAGAGGAACCTCCAGCTCGAGACACTTATTCTATTCTTGGGAGGCGAACATCGCTCAACGACGATGATGCAATTTTCAGCGTACACAATGTTGGACAAGAACTTCGTTCTTTCGGCGGTTCTTGTCGGGCCCTCTTACTGCTGCCGAAAATACCTTTTCCGCTTCCCGGAACTACTTCGAAGCTCCCGTGCCCCTCAATCCATGGAGTCGGAGTAGTCTCCGAATTCGCCCATTCTTCTCCACAAGCCCTAGAGCCCACGTTCGAGCCCAACGTGGGCGACGATCTCCTCGCCCATCCCCTTGCCGTAGCAAGAGAGAGCAAGTACTCGGAGGAGAGGCGGCAACGCAAACTTCTCGCGTGACGATCCCGCAAGACCAGCGCGCCGAAGACTCGCGAGAAGAGTAACACTTACGGGCTAACTCATATCCTTCACCGTGTTTGCGTTCCAGGCGTTTGCTATGCGGAGTTCGGCGTGCGCGTACCGAACACGTCGGGCTCTGCGTATATGTACAGCTACGTGACAGTGGGTGAATTTGTGGCGTTTGTTGTCGGCTGGAACATGATTCTGGAATACCTGATCGGCTCCGCGGCGGGAGCATGTGCCATCAGCGCGTGTTTGAACGCAATGTTCGGTGGGGCCATCCACGACTCGATACGGAACTCCTTCGGCACTTTCGTAGGTGAGAACTGGCGCCCGCACGCAGCCGCCAACGGGCGAATTCTCGCTCCCCTCAAGCCAGCCGGCTCTAATCAGGCTGTGATTGTTTCCGTCGCGCTGCGAGGGATCATTTCTTTTCGCTCGTTTCCAGGTCACACCCCGGATTTCTTGGCAGGCCTGATTACGTGTTTGATGACCGGCTTGATGGTTGCCGGCGTGAGAAAGAGCCTCGCTTTCAACAACTTCTTGAATGTTGTCAACTTCGTTGTGTGGTGTTTTATAATGTTTGCCGCTCTCTTCTTCATCGACTTCAGTAATTGGAACACGGAAGGTACGTATCGTAGTCCTATCGCGTCTCGACGACGAATTTCCGCCATCTCCTTCAATTCAAATCAATCATTCCTATCCAGGTGGATTTTTACCTTATGGCTGGTCTGGAGTACTCTCCGGAGCGGCGACCTGTTTCTATGCCTTCATCGGATTCGATATAATTGCAACCACTGGAGAAGAGGCGGAGAATCCCACGAGGGACATACCGAAGGCCATAACGTGGAGCCTCATTATCGTACTCACAGCCTACATCACGTCGAGCGTCGTGGTAAGTACAAAAGAAAGGAAAACATATGATAACAAAGCCGCGGTTCGGGTTGACCAACATCGAGGAAGTCTGTTCTCTCCGATCACCAGATACCTAGTCAGAAAGCAGGAAACCGTGAAACAAATATTAACAATAAAAGCCCAACGCAATGGACGACGCCAGCTGACGTGCCTGGACAGCTATCGACCATTGATTTCATTAATCAATGCCAAGTCTCCTCTGGACGCCCTCGATAATTGTCGGATGGAACGCACGTGTGCTTCCCTTCCTTTCGCCAAGAGCCACTGGAATAGAACCTAAGGGTCTCGGGTCCGAGGCGGAGCTTTCGACAGGCTTCCTGCGGGGTTGGACGTGAGACGGCTCTGTCCTCTAGATTTCGGTGCTCCCGCGCCAGATCAGGAATTTCTCTGCTGAACGAGAGCTTTCAAGGGGCGGATCATTGCTGCTCGCGAATCACGCGACAGGAGCAGACGATTAAAGGAATAGCTAAATTCATGAGCACATTCCTACATGAATTCGAACATCTACAGGTCACTTTGGTTGTGCCTTACTTCGAAGTAGATCGTGGCGCCGGTCTTGTCGAGATGTTTGCTCAACGAGGCTCGCCTGGCTGTCAGTATATTGTCGCGATCGGAGCGTTAGCCGGTTTGGTTGTGTCCATGTTTGGCTCCATGTTCCCCATGCCTCGCGTGGTATACGCAATGGCCAAGGACGGCCTTATATTCAGGTGAGTCCTAGTTCGTCGACTCTTTTCCCCTGCGAGCCTGGATCGGATCGCTCGCTCCGGGCCAGATTCGACGACCGGTACTAATGAGAATCCACTTATATCACAGAGCACTTTCAAGAGTGTGGCCTATTACGGAGACTCCTGCCATGGCAACTGTTATGCTCGGAGGCGCGACGGCTTTCGTCGCTACAATTATGGGACTTGACGTCCTCGTCGAAATGATGTCAATCGGTGAGTTCCGAGCTCAATTATTCCTACCGCAACGATGGAGAGAATCGCCCAGCGAAGGTATGGGTGGACGTCTGCTCAAGCTGACAGTGTCATTTCTTCTATGGCTCGATCGACTACTTGGCCCGTTCGCGGGAAAGGAACAATTATTATTCACGTGACTCGTCCGCGCCGCCTTTTAGCGATGAACGAGTGAGCCTCCATGCCATGTAGACATGGTCGCTTCCGCGTAATGAGCTTCCCGGTAGCGTCGAGTCCAAAATTCATTATTCAAGGGTTTGAACTTTCCTACAGCCGGACGGGAATCGTGCTCGTGCGTCTGGGCCGAACTCACCGACTAGATCATTTCAGGAACACTGATGGCCTACACTCTGGTTTCGACATGCGTGCTTCTGCTGCGCTATCAACCGGGCAACAAGACTGTCGTGGACATGCTTCCCGAATCTGTCCGATCGGCTTGCGCTACTCCCACTCGAGAATATCCGAAGCCCGTAGGCCAGCCGATGAACGCTAATCCTTTCATTAACAACACGATCGTCACCATGAAACGCTCGAATAGAGTCATGAGTCCAGACAGTGACGATGAAGACGGGTTCACCGGCATGGGAATGGGACACCGTTTCCCAGGTAATTTCAGTAGCGAAACTCAGAGGAAGTCTACGGGGACGCGATGAGGGTTGTCCATCGCGAACGGAAGGTCCGAGCTCGCAGACAAAACAGTCGCGACCCAGGTGTACAACACCGCCCTCCCTGCCGCCGCGGACAAAACATGACAAGCTGAATGATGGACTCGTTGCAGGAGTGGCAGCTCAATGGAAGAACCGACAGGACCTGTACGGCTCAATGCAGGAGGAGTCGCTCGAAGAGGAAGAAGATCTCTTCCAACAGCCGTCCTACTGGGATTTGAAGCGACGTCAAATTGGTTATATGTTTCCATTCCTGATGCAGAATCCCGGCCCGGCAACCGACTCGACCGGGACCTACGTCATCCGTCTGACTGGAGCTCTCTACGGTTTCGCTCTACTCTTCGACCTCGTGGCCGTCCGAGGTCAGGACGCACTCGGCGAAGGATCCGTAGTTTTGACACTGATAAGCCTCGGCTGCCTCGTCGGCATCGTAGTCACCGTCTTCCTGATTGGGAAACAGCCCCAGGCCAAGTAAGATGCGGTCGAGCGCGCGCGCTTTCATGCGCCGCCGTCATAACTAAACACCCGCCTTTTCGTAGCCACCTAGTATAGGACCTTTGCTCGCTCCGAGACTTCCATCAAACTATTTGATACCATCGGCCTCACCGGTTCCTCGGCTAGTGCGCGAGCCTCGCGTGGATGCGTCGCGTCATCGTCGAGCCTGATTGACGTTGCTGCGACCGCGTATTAAGAGCAGGTGGTATTCTTCGCAGATGCGACCTGAAATTCAAGGCTCCGGCAGTCCCCATAGTGCCGGCTATTGCAATCACTGTGAACATATATCTCATCCTGAAGCTTTCTCATCTCACGTTAATCCGATTCATTGTCTGGATGACTCTCGGTAAGTACTGGGAGCGGGATATGGATGAGCACGATGAGCGGGCGGATTTCCTTTTTCGACTGATTCGCCGGTAAACCGCCGAGTAATCGAACATTCATCGCCTCCCCAGGCTTCATGTCTTAATCCCCTTAATAACGGAGCGAACATGTTCAGTCGGATTCCTACCCATAGGGTCTCCAGATGTCCAACCAGAGTTGATAATTTTATGCTTGCAGGAATGTTCATGTACTTCGGATACGGAATCAAGGAAAGCAACCTCGAGCCCGGCTGTGAAGAGCGAATCGAGCTCAAAGTGCCAACGCAAATGGGTAGAGGATTAGGCGACACAAACAAGGCGAAAACAGGAGCGTCCGCACCTCCACCGCAACCGCCTCGTCCGCCGAAGCCAATAATACCCGGATCGCCGGTCATGAATCCTCTGACGAATCCGTTCTTGAACATGAATACCAATATAACCACAAGTCTCACGGAAGCAGTGACTAGCGCGACTGGGAACGGCACAGTTGTCACGACTACAGTGCAAAGAGCTGCTCCGATGGGGAAACCCGCTTGGGCGAATTTCGAGTGAGCGATCGTAGCCTTCAGGTAGACGACGTCGACGGTCACAAGGACACAGCATTCCGTTGCGGTGCCTCGAAATCGGGAAAAGAGATAAGACTGTTGACGTTGGATCTGCAACTCTCCCAGTCTCGATTACGGAACGTCCCCCTCGAACGTCGACGTCGAAGGAATCCGATGATCTGGATTCCACATCGAGAGTATCGGAGTTCTGCACTGCGGAGGGGATCGCATCGAATCTTCCGAATCTCGATCGTTCCGAACTACACATGTAGGAGGACGCTCAGGATTCCTTGGCATCTTACGCACGCTGTGAGTCAGGACCTGAGCGTCTCTCATCCCCGATCCACAGCTGCCATTTCTCTTGCAGATTGTGAAACCATATCCTTAGGATATGCCTATGTATATTAAGTACACACGGGATGAAGATATCCTCGAACTTGTTCCAACATCCGCCCGAGCTGGCACATACGAAGAAAAACTAGTGAGTCATTGTTATTTACGATTTACTTACGTTGATATTGTCTCGTACATAGGTACATGTGTTGCGTTCGCCTTTTGTTCGAGCGTCGGTGCGGTTCATTACTGGATTGATCGCAAGCTCTGACGACACTTGTTGCTAAGTTAGGCGTGGAACGAGTACGAAACAAGGATTCCTCATGAAGAGAGAACCGGTGGATACAAGAGGAGCTGGGTGCGGCGACGAAGCCATACGTTAACAAATACCCGTTAATCCGGAGAGAATGAGTGGGGTTTTCTGAAGAGCTCCGAGCGAGCAGAGGGAGGTTGCGGTATGTGATTCTCGGAATGTGCTTATCGAGTGCGTGTCTGTGTGTGGGTAGATGCTCGGCTGTCTGAATGAGTGTGAAACTCTTGTTCGGTGAAATCTGTGAGATAAAATAGCTCTGCGTCTCGTCGTCCTATCCGCTGGAGGTCAGAGGTCAATGTGGATCTATGGAGAATTATGGTTCGGCGTTGGGGTATTGATGACGACAGAAGATTGTGAAATGGGTTGAAGAGAACTTGAAGTGCGACGAATTTGCGGACCAGTGCGTGGCAGCACCGCGCAAGAGGTTTTCCAGCTGAGCGAGTGGTGTCCCTTCGTTATGAGGATCTCCGGAATTCCCTCTGTTTCATTGGCCTATGCAGACTGCTCAGGTGCAGCATTACTGGTCGCCCGCATCCATGCGCACAATAGAGCAATTGTATGATGCAAGAGCTCAGGTCGGTTTTCATTCGATACCGACGGCTGTTTATCCTCAGAGAGCTCGATTCCCGCCTCCGTGTCCCTTCTCTGCCGAGGGTCGGACAGATAAGTTCGTTGCGTCTGGAACAATGATCGACTGCATATCCAGAGAATGAACGAGCAAGCGAACAGGCAAGCTTAGCCACGCCGATATTCCACCATATTTCTTCAGACTGCGATATCGAACTCCTCCTCGCCTGCCCCATGTTGGTTTGATCGGACTCGGTTGTTTGTACAGAGCACACAGCACAGCAGCAACGGCGAAAATCTTATCACCTGATGTCATCTCGAGCCCCGGCCAAATGTATCTAACAGATTGAATGACGCGTCTCGCTGGTGGCAGAGGTTCCTCAAACGTGACCGCACACGTGACTTATGAACTTTTGAGGCAAATGAAACCGAAAAACGCGTCACCATGTTACATTTACACCCTTGGTGGTCACCTCAATAATTCTACCCATATCATTATTCGAAATATTAGAAGATTCCTGCAGTCCGACAGGCACCGATGCATCGCGTGACCTTATCCACATGTCTCCGCATACTTCCAAGCATCCCGGTTTCTTTTCACCTCGTATGTATCCATATAAGGAGGGTCACGATCTGGGAAAGGCCAAATTACTTCCAAACGATTTCATATACATCATATCTCGCATCTACAGTATAATATGGAGATGATGGCTCATGGACCCATGGCTGAACAGCAGAATGGTAGATGTCGAAACTATTATACATACGCAGAGCAATCGGCAGATCAATTCCCATCTGGTTCGTGAGGCATCAGAATCCTTTCCAAAGCTCATGAGCATACCGACAGACGCAGTATTGAGCGTGATTCGAGCGTGATCCTATAGACAGTGGGAATTTCAGTGAGCGGCCGCCTAACGCCTGTTCGAAAACTGATGAAAATTTCGGCCGAGACTCCCAGATTCCCCTTGGGAGACTCTAATAAACGGGAATTCGTTCCCCCCTATCTTGATAGCAAGGGGAATTCGACCAGCCCCGAGCGTTCGACTCGTCCGCTTCGGAGGGCTCCTTGTGCCCTATGCAGCGCCATTCTGTTCACGGTTCACCTATTGGAGGGGGAACGACGTTGAGAGCATATCCGCACTCAATTAACTTACGAAAACAGGAGTCGCTTGGATTCCTGGAAATCAGCTCCAGCATGGAATCGATCCAAGAATGGAATTTGTCGAGAGGAGGATACTCCGGAAAATATAGTCTCGATGATTTAAGCACGGGAGTCTGTGAAAGAGGGGACTGCACGGAGTATTCCATGAACCTTCCGAATTGGCCGAACATTTTCCGCAGCGCCCCAGAATCGTTGAGGATTCGAGATCATGTGTCTAGAGTAGAAATCCATGAATCTCCCCCGATCCCGGGGATTTATATACATATCTCTCCTTGAACTTCATCAATCCTAATGAAGCCTCTGCTTCGTAGACTAGGTAATTGTTTCCTTTTCGGAGCGCGACCTGATTATAAGCATATGTACCAAGCTCGATCCATGGTTCGATCGATCACGAGCTGAAAGCTAGAAGCGCAGTTTCCTCCAGGCAAGCGAAGATTTTCTTCACGAACTCTATTCGCTTATCGACACACCTATAATCTTCCGCACTAGCCATGCAACGGATTTACCAGATAGCAATGATTGAAACTACGATAATGACAGTATATTTTAAAACATGATAACATAATATATCTGTGATATTGAGTATCTTAATCCCATGAGTACTTCTATGTTGATTTCGTGCGTGAGTGAGTCAGTGCGAAGTCCTTCGGTCGGAGGTGATCATCGACAATTTCGTGGAATATCTTCTCGGATTCAGATATCATTTACAATCCTCAAGAGGAAAGTCGAACAAGCGAGGGACATAGGATGATCTTATCGAGAGGGATCTGCGGCATATAATCTGGTTCTCATTCACCCAACAACACCGGAATCGTTTCTAATCATCTCAGATGTACACACGCAGGAATATAGTGAAATTTCCTCGCTTCGTCCGTTGACTTCAGACGAAGCTACAGACCCGAAAAGCCTCAGATCGGGAAATTCATCGGTCACCGAGTTTTTTTCCCTAGGTAGGTAAATGGAATTCTTAGGGTGCATCTCATGCAAGCAGTCTACAGAACGGCATCGGCATTGCCTGCGAGACGAAATTCCTTTATTTGACTGGTTCGTTTCGAGATCGTGACTTGTTGATTCGGCGAATGAGGATTAACAGAGAGGAACGTCAAAAATAATCCCCGATTTTTGTTCGAAAGATAGGGGAAATTCCTAACTGAGAACCTCGAGAACTCGAGGCATCGGAGGACGTGAGTCTCCGACATAATGATCATGAAATCGTTTCTCTCATAGAAGCAGCGAATGCTGTGTATAATAATGCCTTCATATCATATGTGCCATGATTCTGACGCCATCGTAATCAAGTCCATTGAATAGGATGTATATCACTCCTCTGATCTAATCAAATGCGTGGAGAAGAACACGATAACTATCAACGATGCGGAGCCCATTCTTTGATTCCGATGTATCAACAGAAAAATATCGAATATGAAAATAAAGGGAAGACATCATGAATGCTCTGAGAGTTTTACCTACCAATGTACTGCCTCTCTATCCGGTTCCTCCAAGACCTCCGGCGACCCCCTCGCTAAAACTACCCATCTCGCTCTGATCGGGCCTGTTTCTTGACACCGGAAAATCTTAGCCGAATGGAATAACCGTGCTTATCTCACCGCCTACTTCTTTCATCTACACTACATCGAAGGTCGACGTATGGTGGCAGGACCAAGAGGGTCGCAATCTGAGCTGACTCCGGACTTCAGCATTCCGTGATCACTTCTCACCTACGTCAAATGTCAATGAGGACAATAGGGCTCATGACGCCGGAAGCATTCGTCAACTTGCCGTTGCATCGAATGCTCTATCGTCGCCGATTTTTCGGCTTCCGAATTCGTTTCAGCGGAACGGGTGTTCTGACCGGGATGAGGTTCGCAGACTTCAAGCGGAGCCGCTCGTTGTGGGCAGCGGAAGGACGATTCTGCGATCTCATGAGAGGCGGCTTCCTTCGCGATTAAGAAAGTTGTCGCTTCTACGTTGAAGCTGGTAGAGAAATGTTGCCAGCGTATATGCAGTATTACCCCGCACTCGATGACGCTCTTTCGCCGTTATCAGCCTCGAGGTTGCGATCCGGGAGTCCGAAGCCTGCCACCTGTGGTCGAGGAAGCGCGTTCCTATGGAGCTCTGGGATTGTCTCTCATGAAGCTGACGCTATCTCTCTAAACGCTTTTTTCCAGGATGTCATCAAGTGCTTCGTAGGGTAAGTTAGTGAACGGATAATTGAATAGCCGTGAGCTACAGCTTGAGTGTGGTACTATTGTCAGTGCGAGTTCCTCAAACTACAGGCAAGAGCTTTTTCGAGCGATGAGGGTCGACGTATTTCATTCTCGCTCAACAGTACCCTGCTGAAGGGAGTGAGGTACAGCGGGCGATTTCCTGTGTGAGGCACGCGAAGCGCACGGCCTGCCTGCTATCGAAGGTTATCTTCGAAGACCCTCCTCAATCGAATGGGAGGTGTTCTGAAATGGTCACATCAGGAGCTACATATGCCCGAACCTCCAGCGGTCAATGGGGCTCAAGGAAGCGGCGAAGGAACAGAGTATGTCGTGCTTCTCCGATGGTTTGTGTGTCAATCTAACAGGCTTCGTGAGGCCTCGGACGTCCAGGATCGAACGGGATCTTCCAGCCGCGGCGCATCCGT